ATCACAAAAAAACTATATATATATATATATATATACATATATATATATATATATATATATATTAACTCTACTGCATACTTAGTATGAAGGAATGCTCCTGTAGCCACTTAGTGTGGGTTAATGAGTGTACTAAGACAAACTTTATAAACATAATTAAAATACTTTTGCATGAGTAGGTTTCACTATAAGCAGGAAAGCGTGAAACAAAGTTTAATACAATTTAAGTGCTATTTAACTCCTCAAATATGAAGATTGAAAGGCTATGTAAAATCTGTACACACTCAAGATACTGGTAAATACATACTTCAGAGTACAGAACCAGGAACTGCACAGGATATCCTCAGCAAAATGATATACCACAGCCCCAAAACTGGTTACTTGAGGGGAAAAAAAAAATCAATCTTTTACTTTTCTATGTCTTGTAAATTGAAAAGAAGTAATAGATTCAGAAAACCAAACTGTAACCTGAAAATTATAATAAGATCAAAGCTCAAACCGAACTTTTTCTACAAACTGATTTTGATCGTATTAGACTTATCTTCATTCTTTATACATCAGGCCAATGAGATCCACTCAAAATTCAGATGTAGCATTGTTGATTTGCACATGAAATTAAAATGGCTATTTCCTTGAAGGGCTATGAAACCAAGAAGGAATCATCAAAATGTTTTGCAGATTATTCCAGTTAATATGGAAAAGTTCAATGGTTTGTAATGAAAATGAGATTGGTATCTAAAGCCACTTGAGTGTTTATGTTTACCCAGACTCACTGAACTATTCAGATAAACTTCATACCTCATACATATCTGTAAGAGGGGTAACACGGACTACACAAATGAAAAAGATGTGAATTCTCCTGGGCAGTAACACTGTATCTGTAATAAATTTAAAGAAATCATCCTCACCAAGCCTGCAATATTTTTGTAGAAGATTTTGCTGAGCAAAATCAAATGTCTTTCAAAAGACAAAACACAGAAGCAGTAGCAAGCAAGCAGGAAAGCCAAACAGTACACTACCACAGCTTATCCTCAAATGTTCTCACAACATAAGAGAATTCATAAGGACCTGAAACAAAGTGCTACTTTTATGGAAAAGAAAAAATTTTCTAGTAAGACTTTGCAAGAGAATTTGCTAATGACTCTTGTGCTGTCACACAGGAAACTTCTCAAACAAAATATATAGATTTCCAATGCATCCTTCCTTCCTAATTTATTCACATGCAATGGCAAGAAACCAGCATGAATCCTCCAAAACAAGAGACCAGACTTCTCATGGTGCATTGTTTTGTTAAGCAAGTTCTAATATAGTATCTCTGACACATTTCCAGCTAAATTGCTACTAAACAAGTGGACAAAAGCACCTAAGTTGGAATAATAAAGTCTAACTGTTAGCATAGGTGAGACAGACTTGCTTCACCCTAAATAATAAAGAAAAAAATGAACTCAAAGATACCATGGGAGACAGAAGAAGCACAAAAAAAACATCTTCCTGAAGGGAATCAAGTCTTTCAAAAAGTCATCCACATACAGAAAAAAACACAAAAATACAATTAATATGTGTCTTTAAAAGTGAACTTTTATGCAGGCAGATATATGGGGGATACTTTTTACATATAATAAAAGCTGGATCAAAAGAAGAAGAATGATGCAGTAGTCACAATGTCAGCACTGAAGTTGCAATCATGTCAAGGTGGCTTTAACACTTAAAGGTGTTTCCATCTTTCTTATAAAAAGTATCTTTTTGTGCTCTCTCTCTCTTGTCATAGCACTGATGAAAGGGGTATGGAGCTGTGGAGGGTATGTAGCATATTTTCTGATAGTTTTAGAAACATATAAACCTTTAAGGAAAGTCACATTTGACTAAGAATAGACACATTTGTGAAAAGCACAAAGGGGATGCATATGATCATAACTGTGAATTTTTTGTGATGAAGTATGCTGCAGAAGGGATTTATGAGCTGGGTTAGGACAACAGCTGCTTTTGGAGTCTCCATCACCAGATGGAGCCTCACAACTCATTCCTGTGCTCCCTCCTGGAGAGCAGGGCTGGACCAGCAGCACCCATGTGCCTTTGGGAGCTGCTCTACAATCCTGCCAGGGCCTTCTGCCAGGTGTCACATGTGGAGCTGCTCTGGGCTGGGTCATAACTCTGCTCTGATACTGCTGCTGATGCAGTGGTAAGTTTATCATCAAAGTTTGTACCAGAAACAGAATCAATACAGAAATATTTTACAGCAACACAAAACTACTTGATTTTCTCAGCTGAGATGTAGGACTAACTGGCATGGGGGATGTTGAAGCTGTACCATTTTCTGAGCTCAGATCTCTCCAAAGAGCATTGCACTGGATGTGCCATTTTATCTGATACTACTCTGGTAGAGTGTTTAACTGGGTAATATAAAAATGCTCTTAGCTCACCCTCCTCTCAACAGCTATGACAACCTTCATACTTCAATTCAGCCTTCATACAATTAATCATGACTTGCCTGTAAAAACTCTATGGTCTTTTCACTCTTCCCTTCAGTATATAATGAAATGTTGTTTTTCCCATCTTTTTTGATGCTCCTTTGATCAAAGTCATCCAGATTCATTTGTGGACATACTATCATTGCATCTATAAATCTATAGACAGATTAAGGGTCATGGATGAATAGATCACTGCCAAGATCTATTAGACAACTGCTCACACTTGCACTCTTCAGCTTTGGATTGAAGACACAATTTTTCTAACTCTCCATGTAAGAGCCAGTAGCAGGTGAGAGTGCATGGCCCGGGCAGAACACAGCAGCTCTGGAATGCATTGAGGGAAAGCACACCCTGGTGCATGTCACCATCTCTCTGGTGGGAGCCTCAGAGCCTATTGGCCCCCACTGATCCTGGGCAAGCTGTGGTCTCTCTTGTTCCAGCTGCTTTGTTGAGGATACCACAAACATTCCTCTCAGCCTACCTTCATTATTTCCTGTTTGTCCAAATTTTCAAAGGAATTACTTCTTTCCAAGCATGCACTTGCAGATCTTAAATAGACTGACATACCACTGTATTTGATTCTGCATTGCTGAAATGGGTGTCAGGTCAGCAGAATAAAATACAGCAGAATGTTTCCCTTTGGGGATCTGAGATATACATTAATTAATCACAAAAAAAAAAAAAAAAAAAAAAAAAAAAAACAAAAAAAAAAAAAAGGCATTCAGAAAAAAAATCAGAAAATACAAAGATATGTGTGTAGAACTAAAGAAGGGTAAGAGGGGAGAAAGAAGGAGAAACTGAAGAAAAAGTGTGCAAGTACAGTATGCTAACTTCAGGTTCCTGAATTTAAACTGCAGCATGAATTAAACATTGACTGAAAACCAAGAGAAATGCCCAGCTAAAACACTTTTTGATCAAGCAATCAATAAACTGGTAGCAGTACATGGATTGGGTGGCCCAAAGAAAGCTCAAGCATCCCAGAGACTCTCCCATGTTGTCAGCTTTGCTCTCCTTGAGGAAAACAATCAAAGTCTCAAAAATGCAGTGCCTAAAATTCATCATATATTCCATTAGCTTCACAAAAAAACAATTACCCCGACACATAGCTGTAGTTGATCTGAAATTGAAACGTAAGTAAAAACAAGTTTTAATCTGCTTCACCCTTTTGATCTGGAAATATCAGGCATCCAGAAGCTTTGCCACTGTGCTTTAGAAAGTCTTACAAAGGTCTTCAGAAAGGGACCACTTTATGTACTTCAGTGCTGACGTATTAAGGAACAGTTTCTAAAATTAACAGAAACACTCATTGCAATGCTAAGAAGGAAAACCAATTGTCCTCACTTCAAGAGAGCTCAAGACAGAACTTGAGTTTTCCCACCACTTAACTCCTCTACACAAAGAAAATCTCTGCTTCAGTTATTTGTATTATATTTGACACATCTATGGCTTCAAACTTGCACAATACAGAGCTGGCATCCACACAGCCAAGAATGTCTTTTGGTGGTGCCACCACCTTCCTAAATATCAGGATGTACAGATGTCAACAATAGAATGTCTGATTTTCTGAGTCACAGAACGGCTGTTTTAGAACATTACTAGCACCATTACAGACAGTAGGCAGGCTCACATGGACTGACTTTGGCATACAATCTTGACTGTTGCAGTAATGGAAAGCTTTAAACTAGTTCAGAGGAAAACAGTAAGCATATCATCATAGAACTTTAAATTGCTATTGATTCTTCAGAATATCACTCTCCCAAAAGAATTGTATTCAAGGAAGAATATTTTTTAAGTCCCTTTTTATTTGTTTCTTCTGTGTTAGGCTACCACTGTGCCTATTACAGCACTGACAGTGCCCAGCTCCATGTGAATACAAGGGTGGAGTATGAACAATATCAGAGTATGGCCCAAGTTACCCTCCTTTGTATCAAACCACCTGATGAAATCTTCTACTGCCTGGCCAAAACCACAGCACTGTATGATAACAGCAGAGTAAACCTAAAGAATACTGAGATGCTTTGCAGACTATTAGTCATTCACCTTATCTTGGTAGAAACCTATCACACTCAGAAGCTGGAAATACAGAGATGCAAGATACAATGCTCCTACTGTCTAATTCATGCCGAGGTTTTCAGAAGTGTTCTTGCCAGGCTCCCCAGATGCTTTTTTCCTTCTCCAAACTGCAATTTTCTGACAAATATTTTTAGCCTGTATCTTTCATCCTAGTCTTGATTTTGAAAGATTCTACATGCATAATGAATATAAAAACTGTAATTTTGCAATACTATGTATCCTATCAATACACAAAAGTAGCTTTCCTCTCCATTCTACAGATCCAATGTGATTGCGTTCACTTTAGTTTATACAATATTTTTCCCATTGTTGAGTTTATTTTCTAGAACCTTTGCTATTATAAAGTTCTTTGCACTCAGGCGATGAGACCAACCACTGATTTGAAGTAGATGAATGGAGAAATTCAAAGATGTATAATTGCTGCAGGAAAGGAGAGAAAGGAAAATGAACTCAAATACTCACTTTGATGAATCTATGAAGTATATTACAAGAGCACCAATACTAAGAGCGAAGACTAAGACAACCTACAAAAGAAAAGAAAAGAGTAATTATTTAACAACATTAACCATTTATTCTTTTACATACCAAAAAAAAAAAAAAAATCATAAGCTAGTTTAATTTCAGGACTGATTTTCTTTAGAAAATCAGTCCTACTTGAGCTTCAAACATTATATATTATCATAGAATGCTTCTTTCTTTAATTAAAAAAGAGACAAACAATCTGGCTTTACCAGACCTATCCTTCAGGATTGTTCATTGGTGCATAAACCAAGAGGGGCCAAACTTCCATTTATGCCTGTGAAACCCACAGGAAAACTGTTAGAATGCACTCCCGTCCACAGAGACTACAGTGAACTTTCAAACAGTTTCAAGCAGTACTTGATGCAGCACATCATGACAGTTATGACTTTTGCTGACAGTCTTAACTGTTAAAGCTACACATGAGTACTGGAATAAAAATAGCTTGATACATTACAGGCTCCAGACTTCTTTCTGAAGCTGCTGTATTTTGAACAAGCCTGACTGAGGATCACAGTGCAAGGAGGGGACACACAAGGTTTTCATTCTAAATAGACTTGCTGAAACAATGTAGACATTCCTCTGCCCCCAGCTATCACTAAATGCTGTAAAGGCAGCATGTGAAGCAAGGTATAATAATTATTACATAACCAAACTCTGAAGTTCTTCATGGCCAACATCAAACATGTACATACCTTACAATAAAATAATCATTAATGTATGGATATTAAATAATTACTACTAATTGTTAAAATAACTATTCAACTGCAAGCTTAAATTATTTTTCCTTACTTTTATATTTTGCTGACCATAACAGTTTTTACTTTGTGAATGTCTTTCTGAAAAAGGGTATTTTGCCTGAGTACAAGTATCTGTTGTCATGTCTGATGCATTATCACCTGAACCAGTGAGATCTGTCCATCAAATTCAAGAACTGAAGCATGAAATTAATTGAAATAACATTTTTACTACCTAAGTGTAATACGTTGTTAACATCGAGAGTTTAAATCTTCTTTCATTGTGTACAGGTGTTGCAAGGTGAAATAAGCTATTAAATTCATATCAACTGGTAGGAGTCTCACCATCACAAGAAATTATAGTGGTGAATAGAACTTGTGGATCGTTATCTGACAATATAACCCAAATTATGATTAGCAGTGATCCCAAGGCCCATTTTTCATTGAATTAAGATAGTGGGAAGCAAATTATTATGTACACACTGCCCTACCTGTTGGAATATTCCAAGCTACATACAATTACAGTTTCAATCTGAATCAAATCTGCACCATTATTTATTATCAATCCCTTTCAAAGAAAGTCTTCAATTTTAAAAAACAAAATTTTAAAGAGTGCTGATTGTCCTGAGAACACAGAGCTCAGAATTTTGGCAAAAATTTTGCCTTTTCCCAAACCAGTTTTAAACATAGCTATTCACTTTCAAATAATTTAAAGTCAAGCATTAGTGGTAATGTTTTACCCTGCATTCATACTAACAGCACCCTTCAAAGCCACTATTAAATACTATTAAACACTATTAAATTCTTTCTTGACAAAGAAAGAAAAAGAAAAAGAAACGACAATAACAACCAATAAAAAGCAAACAATTTACAAATAACAGAAGCAAAAAAAATAAGTAAAAAACAATCCCAAAAAAGCCACAGGACAGAAGAGATTTACCCTATGGCAGGAGTTTTGGGTTGCAGAATGCTGAGATGGCAACTTAATGCTGAAAATGAAATATGATAAACTAAACTTGTAATCCATTTGGGACTCTATAAATACTCTTCACATTCCTTCAAGTTCCACAAAACATCCAAGGACTTCGTAAAACTTAAAGGACTTCTATTTTCCTTTTCACATAGCAAGTCTTGAGTTACAACATCCAACCATTGCCTCCTATCCAAAGGAGCTCTGCAGAACAAATCCAGCATAACACTCATTCAGCTTTACAATTCAGTTATATCCAATCCTTTGTTAATCGTCACTGTGCTGCCTAAATGTTACAGAGATCCTGGGTCAGACCTTCCTAAAACACTTAGGGCATTTAAGTGTTCTCTGACAGTTCATGTAACTGCCACTAAAATGCAAATATCTGTTGTTGCAAGCAGCTCCAGATTCCCATACTATGCCAAACAGTGAGATATGTATGTATGCAAGACTACAATATTACCCTTCTGTAATACATACATACTGATTTTAAATCAAGACTGATTTTATCTTCTCTTGCCTTGAAACCCATACCTAACATGATACATAATGACTCAAAGAATCACAGAAAGGGTATCAGAAGAGAATGGAACATTAAATGCCATTTCTCTTTCCTGCTAGATGAGAAACACATTTTTCCTTTGCTACATGACAGAGGAGTTGAGCTGAATTTGAAACTATCAGCTGTGTGGGAAAAGCAGACCCTGAACCAATCAGGTTAAAGGTATACTAAAATTAAAAAAAAAAAAAAAAACAAAGAAATAGATTTTAACAAACCCCAACCCTTGTATGCTACATGATAATGTCTCAGATGCAAGGTTTAGCTGTATGCCCATCTAAAGAAAGTGGAATGTAACCTGGTTATTCAGACCCAGGATGACAATTACTGAGTTTTCTCTAGTATTCCCTAGACTGCCAGGGGAGATAATGTCTGTTTTAAAGACCTTACGAGGCTAGAGGGGTGTCACAAACATAGAGCCATACCCCAAATTCACAGCAATTAAAATCTGAGGGAGGGAAGATAATTACTTCCTTTCTTGTTAACTAGGCCATGACAAGAAGTTTGCTTCCTTTGTTTATTATTTCAATGTATTTGCCAAAACATTGCAATTGCTACACATCTATTATAACCTTTCTGTACAGAAGAAAAGAATCCTTTAATTTATAATAGCTTCCTGTTTGTAGAAGACTGAGAAAAGTGAACTCATATGCTAACAGCTATACTGACTAAGCACTTACTAACAAATTAAAAATAAACACCAATCTGACTAAAGGAAAAAGGGGGAAATACATGGAATAGTTGCTGCATATCCCTAAATCTTTCATAAATAAAGAACAGAGAAAATCCAGCCCCAGACTTCAACAGAATGCCTTTTTGAGGCAAGTCAGAGAAACTGCAGATAAAATCCATCTAAGGAAAACTAAAAAAGTTTCGACTGAGTCCAAGATGCTCTAGAAGAACTTTGACTGCAGTCAAAATTTAGGCATCCATAACAAAATACAAAAAGAAAAAAGAGAAGGAAGAAAAGGGGAATTTTGATAAGGGTGTAACAGCATAATAATAGTGCAGGCAAGCAGCAACTCTGAGAAACACTGTCCTAAATAAGCTCATTTTCCAGGCCCCAGCCTGTGTAACAAAGGGATAATCCAAGGGGTGGCACTGTTCCCCCTACAACTCCATAACTGCATTATTGAAGAAAAAAGGGAAAGTGAAAAGGCTGGTCCATTAGACAGGAGGGCTACAGTTAATAATGAAGAGCCATGAAGGGACTCCAGAGCAGGAACTTCAGTCTCTCATATCCTGTAACACTTGAACATTCTGTGAAAGTTGAAACAGAACTCTTTGAAGTTTCAAAGGCAAATTCTTGCTTATACAAGATTAAATTATCCAAACATAATTAATACAAAATAGCATAGAACTCCAGAGGCAAAGCAGAAAATCAAAAAGGAATAATCATCTCTTTTTATTTTCCTCCAAAATTAAGTATTAAAATAGGAAGTATGCAGTGAAAAGAAAAAAACTTTCAGAAATCTGTAACCCCTAACACCTCAGGGCATCAGAGAGTTCTTATTTCTTCTGACAACAACCTGTTCTGTACTGTTCTTCAAAAATGTTTCTTTCAAACTCTTATTCTATGGTTAAATTATTCAACCCAAAGGCTACTGTAATCCTTAGAATATACTAGGTTTTTAGTTACTAGTATTTTTTGAAATTCACTTAGTTTTCATTTCTACATTCACACAGTAAATTCTGTTAATAAGATAATCAGTTTTATCAACTATATTTTTTAAATAAAATCCCATTCATTTTTACATTTATAATTAGTTATGGAGAACACTATTTCCTATATACATAAAGCTAAAATCTCAATGATCCATTAAACTTTTGTTACACAAACATTTGCACTACAAAGATGCGAACAGCTTCATGTTTTGATCTAACTTGGATGAAAATTTTAATACCTTAAATATAAACCCCAAATGTCCTTTAACCATCAAACAAGAAATCAATTCTAGTTCTTCTATAGACAGACAGAATTTGTCCAGACTTGTCCAGATTTGTCAGGAATGAAAACTGTAAAAACTCTAAGGACACACCTGCTTCAAGTTACATTTCAGAAGTTAGCAATTACTTCTAGCTTGCCAATCCCAGCATTACTTTGCAGACTCTAGGAGATGTATCTCTGCAATTGCTGCAATTTAACAAAAGTAAGACCTTGACCATAGAAGATCCAGAATATTTTACCTAACACTACCAACTCTTAGTTACTTAGTTAACTTAACTGCTTAGTTACTTAATTGCTAACTCTTAGTTACAGCCACATTAAAAACTTTTCAGAAACCCAGATTTTAAAATCTTTTACAACATATTGCATGCAAATAATTTCTTTTCAGTGACATTTTCTGATTTTGTTTTTTGTTTATGGCTATTACACAAAAAGGAGTTAACTAAAAAGTTAATCAGCTAATAATTTTTACGGTAACTAATTTAATCATTAGCACAAAATAAAAAGAGTACTGTAAATTTTGAGAGCTTTACAAGATTTTGTGCTATATAAATTTTCCCCTTCAGCAAAGCTCATACAGACTTATATTTTCCAAAACAAGTCTGAGTTTATCCAAAAGAGGAGGTGAAGGGGAGTGAGAAATGACTACCTGATAAACCAGTGGGCAGTAAATTCTCAGTGAACTTCTGTCAGAAAATTCATAGCAAGGATTTAATTTTAAAAGCAAAAGGCATCAAAGTAGGCCAGCATAAGCTCTGATTGATGACCATGAGTAATGAGAAGATTTGGTT